GATTCGAGGCATTGAAAAAGCGATATGTACCGCTGCGGAATAATCTTGGCTTGAGCTTAAGAGAAGAGATTGGAATGTTTCTCCGACTGCAATGCGATTTTTGTTGGCTTTCTTCCTGATTTCTCACTACCTATCCGCAATGGCATCCGGTCTCTCAGCCACACCTTCAGTGTTTTTCGATCCCCGGGTTGTAAAATTTATTTTGGCTCCGGAAAGTTACCCGCGGGAACACGCCTGCGCGCTTTTTCCTATTGTCGAGCAAGCTTCACCAAAAAACAGTTAAACGCACCGTGGGATGCCTCAAGTTTTCCATTCAAACCGGCGCATTCGTTTCTCCACCCCGTGCGTTTACCCGAATTTCTAGAGCCCGTTGCTTCCCGAAGTTTTTGCCGCAAGCATTATTCTACGTATTACGGAAACGCCTTTCGTACCAATCTTTACCTTCCTAGCCAGATTTACGTTCTCTGTTTTACACACCGGAGTTTACATTCTCCACCGGCTTTGCATACGTTTATCGCACGACACGGTGGCGATCGCGATATGCCATCAGATGCCATCAGGATTATACGTTTTGTCAGAAATGGCTGTTTTAAACACGGAGAACAGCTCTTTTACTTTACGGTCCTTTAAACTCTTGCAATAAAAAAAATATTTGAACAATATGTTTACGGGAACTGGTTCTCGACTCGAATTGACGTTCCTCGAGTTACATCGGTTTTTAACTATTTTTCCATCACCGCAGTAGTGGTAGGTACTTAGTGGCGCGTCATGCGATGCGCTGGAAAATTTAATTCGCATTAGATGGCTTTTAACTTGTCCAAACGAACGACGTTATTGACAACGCTGAAAATGGTCGTGAGCTGACCTATCTCTCGCTGTCGTGTACCTCGACATCCCGACCGCGGTATGCGGAATGATCGTCGACTGAAAATTGAGCAATTGTCCTACCGCGTCGCGTTATCTCCAAGAGTTGATAAAAAAATGAATTCATGATTTAGCCACGTGTAACGTCAGTCTAATAACGGTGAATGAAGGTTTACGGGCTTATGAAAATCTGGCAACTGAGGACAGAGGAAATAGAAGAAATATCCGACATTTGTAATCTCGGCGAATGAGCGCGTTCTACAGGAACCGCCTTATGCCTTATGCAAAGAGCCAGGCGTAACGCGATGACGGCTGTGGTGGTGTTTTACCCTATTCGTGTCACTGCATAGTTTCCTTGTTTCCCATTTCGTACGCCTCTACTCTATTACTTCAGCAGACCTCGTTTTACGAGCCTAAAACAATTGCATTTTCTATCTTTCCGTGTAACAACGTAACCCACGTTTCCACGATATCTAAATTAATGATATCTTAATGAATTTTAATGTTAAATTCGGACGTTACTAACGAGAGATTTATAACGTTTCGCACGTGGATCCGTGCGACGCCCAAGCAACTCTAATTTAATAACTTAACATACAGATTGGAATTAATCTGCGGAGAATTGGCTGTAAATGCAAGTAAAATCAGATCGACTGTCATGCATTATTCCACCCGATTACATTATACGATTCTGATCGTATTGTAATGCAGCGTCATATTTCGGAAACCCCAATTCAACTAAAACAGCTTGTATGATTTTCAACCTTTACGGAATTTTCTGTCTT